TCTGAATTTGAAGCTGTTTCTGACAAAGACAAACATAAGCTTGCTGATGGCCCTTTTGGTGAAGTTTTCAGGCACACCCAGGTAACACTTCTTACTCACTTTTTGTACCCACCAAGATTTCTGTCGTACTATGGCTTCGTTCTTTTCACCTGATATTGTTTATATGAACTTATTGGAATGTAGCGGAACTTATTTTAGTTGTGAATTGAACTTGAATAGCCCTTGTTATAATTTATTGGAAAAATAAAATACGTAGTATGAACTTTAGTTTTAATAGATCATGGTTTATTTAAGTTGTTTCTCATGTGATGTCCTTGGCAAATTTATTTTCAATCTTAGGAAGCAATTGTGTTGCCTCCATGGATCACCCTTGCTGTTCGTCCGAGGCCTGGTGTGTGGGAGTACATTCGTGTCAATGTCGACGAGCTTGCTGTTGAGGAATTGACCCCCTCCCAGTTCCTTCATGTGAAGGAGGAATTAGTTGATGGAAGGTAATTTCAAGATAAATGAATTTTTATTTTTTGTACAAGTGTTAAAAGGTTTTGGTATGATGCATTCTCAGTTACATTAGCTAGGGATTTGAGTCATTTGACAAACTATTTTTTACCAATCTGTGGATGACAGTGTGAATGGAAATTTTGTGCTGGAGCTCGATTTTGAACCATTCAATGCCTCATTCCCTCGCCCTACCCTCTCCAAATCGATTGGAAATGGTGTGGAGTTCCTGAACAGGCACCTTTCTGCTAAGATGTTCCATGACAAGGAGAGTATGCGCCCGTTGCTTGACTTCCTTAGGATGCACCACTACAAGGGCAAGGTAAATTTTTGTTAGATATGCTGATCATAAATGTCTCGTGTTGTAAATAAAAGCTGCTGAAAATATATGATAAGATCCAGTCTTACAGAGTTAACAGATTCATACTGAATTATATAGAAATGAGTCAAATCAAACATGTATAACTATCATACTATGTTAGTGAGAAATTTTTGTAAATTTATCATACTGAGTTGTGAGGTGCTAAAACAATGAGACTACTATTTCCGATTGATGGGGTAAGATTTCCTGTCTTTAACTGTATCATTGTTCCCTTGCAGACCATGATGCTCAATGACAGAATCCAGAACCTTGATTCTCTCCAAAGCGTTTTAAGAAAAGCAGAGGAGTTCCTGGCTACACTACCTGCTGACACACCCTACTCTGAATTTGATCATAAGTTTCAGGAGATTGGCTTGGAAAGAGGTTGGGGTGACACTGCCGAGAGAGTATCAGACATGATACAGCTACTCCTTGACCTTCTTGAGGCTCCTGATTCTTGCACTCTCGAGAAATTCCTTGGCAGGATCCCGATGGTATTCAATGTTGTGATCCTCTCGCCTCATGGTTACTTCGCTCAGGCCAATGTCCTTGGTTACCCTGACACTGGTGGCCAGGTATCTCTTTATCCTCTTCATTTTATTTGACCTGAATTTATATCCCGAGCATTGATCCATACATTTAAAGGTGTTTGATGTCTAACGATATTTCTGATTTCTTGTTGTACAGGTTGTGTATATCCTTGATCAAGTCCGTGCTTTGGAGAATGAAATGCTTCAACGCATCAAGCAACAAGGCCTTGATATTGTCCCTCGCATCCTTATTGTATCTCGTCTGCTCCCTGATGCAGTGGGAACAACCTGTGGTCAGCGTCTTGAGAAGGTGTTCGGAACTGAACACTCACACATTCTTCGTGTGCCCTTCAGAACCGAGAAGGGAATTGTCAGAAGATGGATTTCCCGATTTGAAGTCTGGCCATACCTAGAGACTTACACTGAGGTAAATCACCCACATTCTGATAACATCCAACTTTTATTCTCCGAGCCATAAATTTATATATTTGACAGGCTAATGAGTACATAATTCTCTTCTTTTAGGATGTTGCAAACGAAATTGCTGGAGAACTACAGGCCAAGCCTGATCTGATTGTCGGAAACTACAGTGATGGAAATATTGTTGCTTCATTGTTAGCCCACAAACTCGGAGTTACACAATGTACGATTGCTCATGCTCTTGAGAAGACCAAGTACCCGAACTCTGACATCTATTGGAAGTCATTCGAGGAGAAGTACCACTTCTCTTGCCAATTCACTGCTGATCTAATTGCCATGAACCACACCGACTTTATCATTACCAGTACATTCCAAGAGATTGCTGGAAAGTAAGGCCTCTTTCAGTCTTCAGACTTAACCATTTAGATTTTCCCTAAAACTTAGTCAGTTTACTGATATCTGTGATTCTTTGATCTTTCAGCAAGGATACTGTTGGACAATATGAGTCTCACATGGCCTTCACTCTCCCTGGCCTCTACCGAGTTGTTCACGGAATTGACGTCTTTGATCCCAAATTCAACATCGTCTCCCCTGGAGCTGATCTGTCTATTTACTTCCCTTACACCGAAGAGAAGAAAAGACTCACAGCCCTCCATCCAGAAATCGAAGAGCTGCTTTACAGTGAAGTTCAGAACAAAGAGCACATGTAAATTTGCTTTCCCTTATCCTTGATCCTACTTTATCATTGTTATAAAATATCTATGCACTTGATCCTAATCATTGTCCTTATGGTGTTAAAACAGATGTGTTCTCAAGGACCGAAGCAAGCCAATCATATTCTCGATGGCTAGGCTAGACCGAGTAAAGAACATGACTGGCCTTGTCGAGTGGTATGGTAAGAACCAGAAGCTCAGAGAGCTTGTGAACCTTGTGGTAGTTGCTGGTGACAGGAGGAAGGAATCCAAGGACATAGAAGAGAAGGAAGAGATGAAGAAAATGTACGGACTTATTGAGCAGTACAAGTTGGACGGCCAATTCAGGTGGATCTCTGCCCAAATGAACAGGGTGAGGAACGGTGAGCTCTACAGGTACATTGCTGACACCAAGGGAGCATTTGTTCAGCCTGCATACTACGAGGCTTTCGGGCTCACAGTCGTTGAAGCCATGACTTGTGGGCTACCTACATTCGCTACCTGCCATGGTGGACCTGCTGAGATCATTGTCAACGGAAAATCTGGCTACCACATTGATCCATACCACGGGGACAAGGCTGCTGAGCTCCTTGTCGAATTCTTCGAGAAGTCTACAGCTGATCCTTCTCACTGGGAGAAGATTTCCAAGGGTGGATTGAAACGAATTGAAGAGAAGTAAGCAACGAGCTGAACATCAATGTCCTGCATACATACATATTGTAGATACTAACGCGCTTATCTTGTTACTTGCAGATACACATGGAAGATTTATTCCGACAGGCTGCTAACACTTGCAGGTGTATACGGTTTCTGGAAGTACGTCTCAAACCTTGACCGTCGTGAGGCTCGTCGTTACCTTGAAATGTTCTACGCTCTCAAGTACAAAAAGCTCGTACGTGATCTTTAAACTAACACACCCTACTTGTTACATTCTTTAAACTTATTTCATGTACAATAACATTAATATTCTGCTTACTTTCGTTATTTTTTCAGGCCGAATCAGTACCTTTGCTGGTAGAGGATTCGAATTCGAACTCAAACTGAAGATGAATATATGCAATTGTGCATGGAAGAGCGATTGAGTTTCTCTGCGTGCTTGTCAAAAATAACTCAAATTCTTTTGAGATTGTAATAAAAAAGAAATCAATGTCCTTATGACTTTGTTTCTCTAGTTTTTTTCTTACCCTTTTTTTATTTTTTACTTTGCAATTAAAATTTCTCTTTGCGGCATTTGTCTTTATTGTGGAGGGAACCTTTGTGTTCCAATTTAATGAAAAATTGTTCTATTTTATCTACGTATCTCAACAATTTACTTTCATGACTCGCAAATGCTAAATCCTTATACACTACTTTCTCCTTTGTCCGGAATCAATTATCATGTACTCGTGTTATATTAGTGTAAACGCTTTGCCTCTGTAAAACATATCAAATTTCGAAAAAGTTGTTACCATGCATATTTTCTTCTCTTAATGGAGCATCCGAACATGACTATTGTTTCACGTTTGGAATTACAACTAATACGGAGTACTAATTGCATTTGTTGTCATAACAAACTCTTTTGTGAGTCATCCACCAAGGATGAGAAAAAACTTATACAACAATAGGTTTTCCTATACTCAAAACCTCACTGTATTTGCGCTAATGAAATTTTACAATGGTTTGGACCTTAGACTTTCCGATTTCATGACATAATTTGGTAGAGTATATACTAATTGGATTGGTTTTTACTGATTCACTAGTGTGTTACTTATTGCATGAGGTATAATTTCAAACTAATTGGATAGAGCATTTTATAAATTAATGCCCAATTCCGTCAGAGAAGTAATACTTTGAGTAGTGAAAAACGTACAAATTCCACATAGTCTCCAGACTCCAGTTTCTCACCGAGCTAATTAACTTAATGATTAAACTGATTACAATTGTTGGAACCCTTTATTCTTTTTGTAAAAAAAAAAAATCATATAATGTACTCGTGCTAATACACGGGATATATTCTTTTCAAAGAAAAACCATAATGTAGAATTTAACCCCTTATCATGTCACAACTTAATTTTTACTATAACCTTTATATATATATATATATATATATATATATATATATATATATATATATATATATATGGAAAATACTGGCTTGTACTTGATTCGTTGAAACAAAGAAATTGGTCAGTCGATGACTTGGCTTTCAACTAATCTCTTTCTTTGCCTACGGGATGTGCACATGAAGAACTCTTATCTAAGTAGTATGCTTTCTAGTTCAAGTAGCAATTCCTGTCTCTGCTTCTAAAGTAAGACGGGGCCTTTATCTCCTCCCTCCCGGTATCCCCATTAGTTAATATACAAAATTGGAAAAGAATTCCGGGTCATTCAGATTTCAGGTTCGAGTTCGAGAGGTAGGGATGACAGGATTTGAACCCGTGACATTTTGTACCCATATATATATATATATATATATATATATATATATATATATATATATATATATATATATATATATTTTATTTTGGTAATTCTGTACAACATTAACTTAGCAAGTTAAAAGGCCCAATTTTTCTCAAAAAAGAAACAAAGAAAAAAAAAAAAGGTTGAAAGGCCAAATTTCTGCCGCCAAAATAAGTGTTCTTCTATTAAACTCATATCATTCTTATTCGTTTACTTCACATTCTAAATCAACAACAATCAAATCAAATAACCCCAATTCTCTTCATAAAAAACATTCTTCAACAAAATCAACTTTAATCTTTCTCTTTTTCTCTCTCCTAAAAATGGGAGAAACTACAGCAACAACGATCAAGAACTCAACAGCAAAAACCCAAAACAGAGTAATCTTCTGCTTATTCTACTTCATGCTCTGCATCATCACTCTATCCGCCATTTTCTTGCTTTCGAAACCCGACTCGAAAATCCAAGAAACGTCTCAGACACCCACAAATCAGCTCAATTCACTAAACCCCATCATCAAATCAGCTTGTTCTTCCACTTTCTACCCTTCCCTCTGTCTCTCTATTGTCTCTTTTTCCCACTTTACTACCCTCGATCGCTTCCTTGAGGCCTCGATCAACCACACTATCGGCCTCGTTTCGAGTTCTCAGCCTGAAATTGTCGATTTCTTTGTTCGGCAACTCCTTAATTCACAAGAGAAGACTGCTTTTAATGACTGTCTTGATATGCTTGATCAGACTTTGTATGAATTAGGCCAAGCAATGGATAACCTCCGTAGTTCTTTCGGGGTTTTTCGGCCGTATTATGGAGATTTGAAGACCCTTTTGAGCGCTGCTATGACTAATGAGAATACTTGCATTGATGGGTTCTCTGATTTGGAGGGAATTGAATCAAAATTTCATCAAAAAAAGGGTCTCAGAATTTATCTTGAGATGAAATTAAAACCCATTGTTCAAATGATTAGCAATATCTTGGCAATTGTAAAACATATGGAAGAAAGCATAAAACAAGAAAAAGATGATCAGTTGTTATTGGATAACTATAAGCAGTATTATTCTTCGGTTCAAAGATCAAAAACCGGGTTTCCGCCGTGGATGAGTAAGAGGGAGAGGAGGATGATGGGAAGAAGGAATTACAGAATTAAGCCGAATGTCGTGGTTGCGAGCGATGGGAGTGGGAATTACACCACAATTGGGGAAGCAATAAAAATGGCGCCAAATATGAGTTCGAGTAGGTATGTGATCAAAATTAAGGCGGGGATTTATAAAGAAAATTTGGAAATTCCAAGAAATAAGATGAATGTTATGTTCTTTGGAAGTGGGATTAATTCAACTGTAATTAGTGGAAACAGGAGTATTGTTGATGGGTATTCAACCTTTACTTCAGCTACTTTGAGTACGTCTCTCTCTTTTCTTCGTGTCTCGTTGATTTCGCCTTTGATCTTAGACTATGTTGGAATTGTAAATAACCATGAATTTAGTTGATTTAGTTTGTGATTTTGGGAGATTTGGAGATGTGATATTTGGTTATGAACTTGGTGTTTAGATCATTTCAATTGTGTAAAATCACAGATTAGGCTTCTAATTATTGTTGGGAAAATGATTATGTTTTTATTATCTGAAATGTATGATACAGTAGGAAGTAAATAGTTTTACAGCCAATTGTTCCTTTCATCCTGATTCCTGATTACACTGCTACAATTTTACATGAAAAGGGGATGGCTAAACATGGGAAGTACTAATTGTCATTTGTATTGGCTTCTGTTCTGCAGCTGTAATTGGAGACAGGTTCTTGGCTAGAGACCTGACAGTAGAAAACACGGCAAGTCCGGAGATGTACCAGGCAGTAGCAATCAGAGTGACCTCTAACTCTGCTTTCTTCCGATGCAATTTCACCTCCAACCAGGACACTCTCTACGCTCACTCCCTCCGTCAGTTTTACCGAGAATGCATCATCCAAGGTACCATTGATTTCATCTTTGGGAATGCAGCAGCCATCTTTCACAACTGCCAGATTCTAGCCCGGAAACCTATATATGGGCAGAGCAACATGATCACTGCTCAGAGCAGAGAGGACCCTAATCAGAACACAGGGTTCTCTCTCTCCAACTGCACAATCAGTGCAGCCCCGGATTTTTCTCTTCCTGATCGCAGAAGATCATTTACCTTTCTTGGTCGACCATGGAGGAACTACTCAAGGACAGTCATAATGAGGAGTTATCTTGGAGACCTGATACATCCACAGGGATGGTCTCAATGGGATCAATACAGCAATTTGGATACAGTAGAATACATCGAGTACATGAATACTGGACCAGGGGCAGATACTAGATATAGAGTTAAATGGAGAGGATACAAGAAGAATTGTACAGAAGATCTAGCAAAGAGATTTACTGTTGGAGCTTTCCTGCACGGTCCTGACGACTGGCTGTATACCACTGGGTTTCCTTTGTTCCATGATCCATGAAGTATACCTGCACAATGATAATTGAAAAAAAATTATGTTGTATATACCATTCTCTCACAATGATCTGCAAACACCACCCTTTGTATTTACCATTCATGCACCACGCAGAAAAACTTCCTTCATTAGTGTAAGTAGGTCCGTAGTACAGGCAAAAATTCATATATGAGAGTAGATGTAACAGCTATTTTCATATATACAATTTCGTAAATGTTTTGATTCAAGTACTATATGCAACATTCACTTTACAAATCTACGCTCGACTTCATTTTCTACAAAAAATTTCTATAAACATTTACATGGCACATAATTTATGTGTATAGAGTATATTTGTCACAATCCTTCGCAGTTGCTTGAAGCAGATTCTTTTCTGCACTCGTATGCTCAGAAGATATAGCTGTTATTCACATCCCACTCCCATAATCTTCATTGCAGAAGGTTAAATACTACTATAAGTATAAAAATTACAGAAGCAGCCACCATCCATTTACTTTATCAAATGAATCATATATGATTCAGATCTCCAACCTAACCCCTTCACAACTTTGTAGGCTCTCTTCAAGCAAAAGAGCTTCATGCCCGAATAGTTCGAGAAACTCCTTCCTTTAGCCTAGGCTGCCTTGGGTATAGGGCCACTGCTAACAATAACGCAACAAGAAGACCTACTACTCCACTGAATGGCTGGAAGGGGTGCAAACCGATGATCCACCATGGAATCTTTGACATGTAAACAACAAAACCACTCGTTTGTAAAAAGTAACTGGAGGCCATTAGGCCAGTGCGCAGTCCAATGGGAATGAAAAGGCTGCCTTCCTTTCTTAGTCGAGCCCCAGCAAGACACAAGGATAATAGCCATAGACCAGGAATGGCCTGCCAGGACCTGGGAAATAATGAAATAAGATTTATATGAGCATTGTGTTGCTTGAAGTAAGAAAAATGTAACTAACATCAAAGGAACGAGATTATAATATACTCCGAAGACACGACAACAAAGAGGCATCATTAAAATTATAAAAGCCTAGGAAATATCCAAACCTATGTTAGAGCCGAGCTGAACTCTTAACATGACTATACTTTGGGTTTGGTTTAATTCTATTGAGTTTGAACTCGAACTCGAACTCACCTCCAACTTAGCAATTAAATTTATGTTCGAGCTTGGTTTAATAAATAAAAAAATCAACTTTGTTCCAAGCTCAACTCAATAAAGTATGTTTAAACAATAAGAGCTTGGTTTGATAAAAAAATATTCTGACTAGATAAGTCATGTTGGAATTTCTCATATCATTTTAAGCCCTGGTTTAACATTTAAATAAACAATATTATAAATCTGGTATTATATATCTTAAACTAATGAGCTCATGAGCTTTCGAGCAGAGCTTGAGTTTGGCTCATTTAAATTCAAACTATTTTAAGCTCAAGCTTGGCTGATTAACAAACCAAACAAGCTCAAACCAAATTTAGACCAAATCGATTCCAAACAGTTCAATTTATGTCCATTCCTACATTTTATCTTTAATTTTTGAAAAATAACAGAACATAATACCTTCCAGGTCTGTTTCAAACTATAAAAAGTTGCAGACATACCTCTGTGATAATGCAAATGCAAGTCCTGATAGAAGTATTCCAGGATGATAACCAAGGTCTATTGCGATTTCTTCTAACAGCCATGATCTAAAAAGAAGTTCTTCAACAAAAGAAACACCAGCTGCCACGGCAAGTCCTTGTCCAGCGGAAAGAAACAGCTGGCCATGCGCTTTGATTTTGGCACTAAAAGTTAGGGACGACGAACCAAGACTGGATGGAAAAGAAAGCTTGACAAAGCCAAGATATGCATTCAAAGAGTGTATTGAGATAACCAGCATGACTCCTCCAACCAACCCTATCAAGAAGTGTTGCACCTGTATGTAGAGACAGAATTAATTGAAAAAGAAACTGACGAGAAACAACAGTAAATAAAAAGTTATCTACTACATTTCACTCTCTATTGTCTTCCTCCTCCCACCTTGCTTTATCAGGATATGGGTCAGAGGAGGTGAGCCCAGTCACCAATCAATGCATGCAGCAAACATAACAAGATCCTGCATAATGAACTAAAACAGCATCTATAATAATTCATTGCTACTTCAATTCTGGTAAATCAGTTTATTTTTATAAATAAAAGCACGAAGAGAGTTTTATAGAGAAGTCGCAAAATCATATAAATCTTTGACAATGCTGTAAGATATAATCTGATAGGAGAAGTGACTGCTTCAGATATTAGCTGATACCTTTCTTGGTGATGTAAAATCCAGCCCGTATTGCTTGAATGGATCTTCATACCCTCGTATTCCCTTCCCCCACTGCATGATAAGTATTATGACAGCAGTGTAAAGCCCAACTATGCAAGCTAGCTCGACAATACTAGAGGAGGTATGCGTCAACAAATTCTGAAAAAGTGTAGGCAACAAGGGCACCAGCACTGGAGACCACAAAACTAGGACCATGCCAGAAAATCCAAGTACCCTGTGAATGAGAAGACTGTTAACAAGCACTGGAGGGGCACTTAGATACATCCCAAATAAATGATACTAATGGAAAAAACATTGCCAAGAATTTACAATGATATAAACAAAGAAGATGTCAGCTTTTCTAGCCATACCGTGAAGAAAAGAAATTACAATATAAGAGGAAAAAATGTTACAGGTATCAACATCTGAGGTTCAATAGTTAACGGAATCTATAGGCTTTCAACTAGCTAACTACTGCAGCCATCAGAAGCTATCATCAGATATCTACAGTACATGCCTGTCCAGCTAAAAGATTATATTCTCAAAAGTGGTTGAAGATCTAACTAAGCCACAAAAATATTATGCTTCCTCGTATCAGCTAACATAATGTTTATCTAATTTGCAGTATGTTCAGGTTGAAAATGGTGTGTGGATAGTATTGGATACATATTATGTAGTCAACTAATTATCACTAGTATGCTTTGGACATAGCAATCCATTATATTAAAGGAGTTAAAAGTAAAAACACAATGAATTCACTAAGAAAATTTAAATTAGTTGAAAAATATCTAGTTGATACACACAATTCAGAAGGACTGAAGCACTAAGATTTTGCCATAACCTAGATTGATGGTTGTAAACAGCTATCAGTGATTTCAGACATTCTACAGAGAGTCATGATTTCAGGATATAATTTTTCGGCATTCTTTTAGTCTATCATATGTAGGACTTTCAAAACGAGGTCAGAACTTGAAAAACACCAGGTTGTATCACAATAAACCCAGGACACAGAGAAATTGTAAATAGCATCATATACACTGAATTGTAAAAGATTAGCTATCCAAGATTTAAAGAAGCATCATAATAGCCTGATAATCTCCTGTTCTCCAGAAAAGGAGGTGCATACAATGTGTATTTATTTAATGATATCTAAAAAAGGAAATGCAATGGATACAAACTAGTATAGTACACAACAAAGACAAAAGCAAATATCAATATATGCAATCATTGTGATTCCCACACACTTATTCAGTTACTTTGGTTTTATTTGAAAAACTTAAACACAAATCACCTCAGAAACAAAGGCTGGTCGGCAATACGTAAAAATGAAAAAAGCTTGTCTGTCAAACTCATAGCACCACGAAGACCACCCCACAGTAAAGCCAATTTTCCAACAAGCCTTAGCGCGCCACCTCTTTGGCCCAATCCTGCCAGCATTGCGACGATCCTGATAAAGCAATAGTTCAATTAGATAAACATTCACATACACACTCAAGGAAGGGCGAGAAATGTGAAAAAAGAGGCAGACCAAAATAGAGAACAAAATGACAAAAGCCAGTCTACCTATCTTGATCCACAGCTCCATCTTGCGTAGTAGGAACCACTGGACCAGCGACTGACATTGCCTTTTCAGCAAGGCTTGTTACTATATTACTCTGGTCTTTGTCATCTACCGTCTCCTCTTTATGGACTGATTCACTCTTCATATGTTTATCGTCAGTTTCATAACCGTCGTTCGCCATGAAATCGTCCTATGATAATATACAAGGCCAGAAGTCAAAAGGAATGAACAAAATTGTAGAAACAAGAGGGAGGCCAATGGCCAGTAATGAAGCCAACTAAAGTGATTATTATTTCAACCGATATATGGCCTGACATTTAACATCAGCACAATGTGAATGGCGGATAATATAAAATAACAGTTAGCCAGTCTGACACTGCATTAGCAGTGCAAAAGATCACTTTGAACTACACAGATACTTTCAGATTAAAAGCTGATGATTTATAACTTTAATCTAGGGGGTAAGACAACAAACATTTTGACCTTTAAAATTCCACCAGTGACGGACTCAGACTGGCTGTTGCCTGTCTCTTGTTAAAAGCATTCATCATTATGCTAAACATTACTAACTTTGTTACTCACAATGGATTGAGTTTTGCACTATTCATAAATTAAGTTTGATTACATTTTCTTGCTACCACAACAACAGCAAAGACTTAATCCCATAATGAGTTGGGGTTGGTTAATCAGCAAATAAAAAACAGAAGGAAAAAAAAAAAAAAAAAAAAAAAAAAAAGGGAACAAAGATAGAAAATTGAAAGGGACAAAAAACGAGAAAGAATATATTGAGAAAAAAAAACAAAGAGAGAGTAAAGTGAAAACCCAAGAAGAGAAAATACTAATATAAATTGAAAAAGATTTATAAAAGATATTCTAAGCTTCTGCTCAACTCTTTCGGTTGTGTAATATAACCATGACCACATTTTCTTACTCAGTTCATAAAAAACAAATGTTATAGTGTAATATGTTGTAAGATTGATCTTAATGTATATTTTTCAAACATGGACTTTTTTTAATATAGTTTTTAATAATACATTATTGCATATATTTATGGTCAATTCTGTGCATTGGCAAGTAGATTATTGCCAGTGTGTAGGCACAGAAAAAATACCTTCCAAATATTGGTATATCTGATTCCCTAATACTTGGCTAAAATCCAAGACTTCCCACAAGTTCTTTCAAAGTAGTTGAATGCCATCCTAAAATTTTAAGCTAGAAAGAGATACATCCATCATTATTGTTTTTTTTTTTTTTTTTTTTTTAAATTTACCCATATTGACTATTCATGTTTACCTACACAGGGCTTTGAGTCTTTGACCGTTAAAAACTTAATAAATAAAAATTATAAATGTTGATATTCGGAACTATACGTTGAGAAGATTTACAGTATCTCACTAGACTATTCTTCTTATCAACAAATCACCAAAAATAATTTATGTAAATAATGCGAAATGGCAAAGGGGGTAGATTTACAACCAAAAAAAAAAAAAAAACCCTGAGGGAGCGGTGACAATAGATAAGACCCTTACATTTTGAAGAACAAATGTGTGTAGCAGAAAGAAACTTCAAAACCATAGAAAATACCTGCTGACTTGTTAATAATGCAGACGCTCCAAGTGCAGCTGTAACAGCACCAACCATGAGAGTATTTCCATCCAAACCTTTGAACTCCTCCTTATCTACGTCATCTTCACCAGGACCATCTGAGGCACCACTTCCCTTGACTTTTGTTAAATTCTTCTCTGGAGTAAGATCAATCCCATCAATAGGAAGTTGAATGACCTCTTGTGGAAGTATATCATCTGGCTTCAACACACTGAATTGATCTTGATCCATGTCCAAAGCTCCAGCAGCTACATCAAAGCAGTTTCTCAGAGAAGCTAAAGTAGAACCAACGATAACACCAATGGGTAGCACTTTTTTCAAGTAGCTGGTATCCTGTAGTACTTTAGATATTGCTTCTACGATAAGGTCACCATTAATAAGCCTACTCCATTCTTGGAAATCAGGGTCTAACCCAGAGAACAAGAGCTCTTGATTATGCTCTATTTCATGTTGGATTGCCAAATAGACAGCTTCTGCCACTGCTTCCATATCTGCTGCTAGAGCAGCATCCATGTCTTCAATGTCTGTTGCATTAAGTCTACGACTAACTTCAACTTTCAGAGAATTAAGTAAAGTGGTCTTAACAAATAATTTTGACCTGTCCACATTATCACGTTTCACAGATTTGTCATGTGATTTCTGCATCAATTCTTCCGTTGGTTCGTCCTGCGTCTCTTTGTCAAGAATGACATATGATGGCTCAATAACGTTATCTATAACATTTTCTTTCTGAGGTAGCTTGGTGTGCTCCTTTTTGTCTTTATTGTCAAATACAGCAACATGTATTCCACCAGGCTGTTTTAGCAGAAGCAAGTGCCCATCTTCTGGAACATAATCAAGTAATGGAGCAGTAGTTGCATCCATAGCAACATCTTTCACTTTCTGCATCTTTGACAGGATATATTTAGGGACAAACTCTTTGTCAAATGCTTTTACGTTTGCTGCTCCCGGGTTATTGACAATCAAGTTAAGCATCTCAATATTTTTCTCTTTGCCAGAAGCTGCCGTTGGACCCATTTTCATACTACCATTGCTATCATGTGCATGAACTGATTCTATATCCAGAGGATTGGTATTTTCTTTATCTTTCCCTGCATCAAGCTGTGAATCAGTAAGATAACCATAGCAATTACGCAGGAAGATGTGACAAGTCATGAAACAACCAAACTTAAGTCTTACCATCCATTTGTTTTTCTAGATGGAGCTCACTAGTACTGCCATCCTTCTCAACAACTGAGCCATTAATGGCATCCTTGTTCTCACTTTCTTCATTGACTATGTTTTCAGTACTTTTCTCCTCCAGCTGAGTAATCATATCTTCAAGGACACCAAAAACACTATTGACAGCCACCTGTGTTGAGTCATCCATCCCAGTGAAAGCATCAAAAGCTTGTGAAACACTGAAAGTGGGGCTTTTAGATTCAGGAGCACTATTCTGATCTGGCAGCGGTTGCAAATCTTCACCCTTGGTTTTACCATCACCATTTCCATTTTCTGATATTTGACTATCAGATGTGGGTGGTGGCGTTGCTTCATCTGTATCTGCTGCCGGTTCAGCATCTGAGCTTGTTTTATTTTGCTCTTCAGGCAAATCCTTGGACTCACCAACAATCTCAGAGATATCACTCTCTGCCTGTTTTGTTTCGTCATCTTGGGACCAAGTACTCGGCTTAACACCTGCTTCAGAGTTGGTGCTACCACCACTGCCGCTAGATGAGTTTATTTTGGCAGTGGCATCAGAACCATCCCCACCAGAATCAACAGGCTGGTCAACATTCTTGGCAGAGGCATCATTATCAGGTTTTTCATCACTATTCTGAGAATCTTTTAAACCTTCTGTCAGTCTTGTATCCCCCTCATTGCTGTCAACTACTTTAGTCTCAGTAGCTTCTTCACCGAGGTTGTTATCACTGTTGTCTGGTTTAGCATCTCCGGATACTCTGTTTTCTGAAGGTCGATCAATGTTTTCATTTTCAGAGTCAGAACGCAAGGCTGCATTTTCTTTGTTATCTGATTTCAGAGCAGATGAAGGATCAGCTTTATGGTTAATGCTCAGTAGTGTATTAAGATTCATATTCTTCCCAGGTGCTTGCAAAATTTCAGAAACAGAAGTAGTAAGTTTGCCACGGACATCCTCAGGGACAGCATCCTGCAACGCCTTAATAAGGGTCTCACCTCGATCAACAGCGGATAGTACCTAGCAAATGAGTGAGATCCATCATAACAAAACAAACAAACATAGCTAGTATTCAACTAACAGTATAATAAGTGAAGGTGCTTTGAACTAAATCTACCAAAAAAAAAAAAAAAAAACTGTTTTAAAAACTAAGGACGCTATCTAAAAGATCCAGACAGATGAGCTATTGACCCAGAGAAAAGTAGATATTCACATAAAAGATCATGACCCATTGTGAAGGGGCAATAGCTATATAGTGTGGGTAATACATACATTCTGCCTGATGTAAGACTCTTAAACTTGTTAAGTTTGTTTTTTCATGATCATTGTTACCCAACAGGGTGCAGTTTTTTGCACTTCATCATGTACAAGCACATAAACCTTGAAGAATTGTGCCTTAGTCCTAAGATGTAGTTTATACTCCCAGAAAAACGGCTAAAAGTTCTTGAACAAACCAAATCATAGTCACAATACTGCAAACAAAAATTGCTCTCTTTTTGTTTCAGGGCATGGCACATGGCTCTCGTCACAAACTCGTCAGGTGTAAAGAAGCCCATTGGTTTCAACTAAATTCGACAAATTATTTTATTTTGCCCGGTTCTTTTGTTATATTGGGAGGGGAATTCCGGAGCTCTGGTTAATCTACAAGCTGATCAAACTGGTTATGGGGTTGGTAATTAGTACTGAGAATCAAAGTGTTGAAAATACTGACTAGAGGCTAGAAATGGTTTAAAGCAGAGCACTTTTAGCTAACAAAACTTCAGATTGAGTGCAGCTTCAAGCCAATGCTTATAATAATTTTTAAGTCTATTAACCAACAAAATCACGAGGGCAGACAATATAATATAAATCTGTGTATACAGAAGACAATAGATGGTTCAGTCAGCTTTCCCTCTAGTAGAGATCAATCGTTGATACTTCCATATTTCATCTCTGACAAAGGCAAGTCATCCCAACAATCCTATGATTACAAAGGACTATCTAAACTCGGTCAAATGACTATCTAATTCAAACTATCGTTTACTTTCATTTTTACGGACAAATTATGATAGACCAATCAATTGTTTTCCGCATCATACTTAACTGGGAACTTCCTCTTTAAAATTGAAGGGGTTAAGTTAAGGAAAGTCTTTTTGAATTTATACAATAAAGCTATGCCTTACATGTATGTGACCCCAACAGGACTGCTGCCCCAATCCTATACTGCTATATAGTATCCTCATTAGAGATACTTAAGATATAATTCTTTTATCTTCCAAAATTTTTACAGTAAAAGCACAAAGTCATATTGGCCTTTTAAGAATAAAGATACAAAAGAGCACTTGGTTTTTAGCATTATCAAACTCCAGCTTTACAGAAAATCCCAAGGCTAAAATGTCAATATTAAAATAGATACCTTTTTCTTGTCTTCTTCTTTTAATGTCCCAGGCATTGTCACATCAAGCATATTCATAACAACCTGTGCTGTTGGGAGCACTTGGCCAGAATCACTTTCTACTGGATTGGTTTCTGTGACTTTAGTGGAATCTTCATCATCTGAGCTCCCTTTTGAATTCTGGTTTAACTTTGAATGAATACTAGGTAAAGTATCAGTCTCTCTCCGCATACCCTTCATTGGATCCACTAATACATCTGAATTATCTAACTTGGCCAAATTCAAGAGACGGTCAACTCTGCCACTTGTATCAGACGTTCTTCCCTCCACAAGAGCTAAACCTTTTGAAGGTTTGACAGTAACATCTATATCTTGAAGAAGTGGGTGGCGACCCTTTAGTATTCCAAGCTCCACTGCTGTGAGCCACTTCATTATAAATATATTTATCAGATATACAGGGCACAAAAATGTAGCAAACAAGATTTTACAAGAACAAAGGATAGAAACATATTTTAGAAACAAAAAGTACCAAACCGATTCTCCCAACATATCTTTACTTGGATTCAAAAAATGGAAGAACACATAAGCAAAGATCTCTTATAAGGATATTATATAACCAAGCATGATATTTGTACATCTCATACAAGTTATCATCTAACTAATTACTTATGTAGAACAGAATTCAAATCAAAGATAAAATAGATATGTGCCATCTATCTCAATATATCATTAAAAAGTTTGTACAACTTTTGGTTACATTTACGTTGAAAAAGTCTGAACAGAGAAAATTTTCAATATTTGGTAACAAAGGACTCACTGAGGGTGCAAGCAAAAGGAAAAGAATATCCAATGCTGGGCAATATAACCCATTTTGAAGGGCTATTTATTTCTTGAAAATTTGTGGTTGCTATTTATGATTTATTTTACTACTTGAAACTTTTGTTTACGTTTCGTTTTACTCTCAGTTTATCTACTAAAAGAATATATTCTGCAATCCAATCACAAAATGTACTACTAGTCTACTACAGTGTAATCTGGAGATGAACACCCATCCAACTCTAAATCAAAAAGATAAAAGAGAAAAAGTAATCACTCCTTATGCAACAGAAACTCTGCCATAGCATCAGAACAAGTACAGTTTACAGGAGTAATTAAATAAATATTGAAGCAGAGGATAATTTTTACCTCAGTTGCCACATGCTGGTACCACGAGATCGTGTTAACAGTAGATGGTAAAAATGAACACAGAAGTAAGCTTGTAAAAGGATTTTCAGCAATCGAGCCACGAGGAATAGAGAACAGAGGCACAGTCCCAGTGTCATTCTGGAAGGGGGTGGGAAAGAGATAAAATATGTGTGAGCCATAACAACATAAATAACAAGATTTATGTATTATAATAGGCAAGAAAAGGCACATTTATGTCAAATTCCCCAAAAGGAAACAGGATAAAGACCATAATTCCCATTAGGTATTAGCCACTAATGTCAAGGATATAAAAATCATCGCATTCTAGTCAAAAGAACCCATGAGAAGCTCGGAGTTTCCTTACTCTTTATTAGACCTCTTTTCAGTAAGTTAATTTAAAGAAACAAGTGTTTTGGTACCTAGTCAAGACACTGCTTAAGAAAAACAGAGCAATGACTACAGTGGGGATTCCCACATGAACCGAAACGACTGAATTCAGGGAAAAGGCAGTAGCTAAGTTCAATTTCGGTGCAGGTACGAGTACTTCAATTCACCATTTTTTGTTGGAATAAACACAATTAGTTTTGAACGGCCTTAACTTGTTAGTTTATAATCAGAATATGGACGGCGATGAATGATGATAATGATAAAAGAAGTAGAGGAGAGGAGCCTAAAAGAGATTGAGGGCAATGAAAAGCAGGGATGATTAACCCATAAGGCATGACCCATTGTGCAGTAAAAGAAAAACAAGGGAAGGGGAAATGACATTTTGTATAATCTTTTTCCTTTTCTCTATTTTTAAGTCCTTTTAGTTGTTGGTTCTAGTTTATCCAAATTCATTATTATTTCTCTCCTTGATTAAGTTTTGTAATGATGCCCCTTGTGGCTCACATTAAGACTCATTACCTAAGCTTTATTTTTCCACCATATTCTATGAGGTTATGGTAGAAAATTACAGAGGTTAACCTCTAAATTTAGGGTTTTAACGAAAGTTGTTCAAATCAATATAAAGTTGTGTACTTAGATAATCTTATGATTAATAGAATGAGTAACTTTCATTCTTAGCCCTCCTTAAGTTCATGAATGACACCTCTATAAATTTATGCATAAAAGAACATGTTAAGCATCCATTTATGCAGTTCCAGAAAATAACACACCTGTACAAATAGTACTGGAACCTTCAGGTTTCCTACCAGCTTTCTGGTGCTAGAATTTGAGTAGAAATCTTCTAATGAGTCAAATCCAAATGAAACCATGGATATTGCCTCTTCAAAATCGCGGACCGATTCAGCTGCCAAAGCCTTTTCCACATCAAAACCTTTCCTCCTACCTTGAAAAAGTTCCTGAAACATAAGGTGTAAAACACTTAAATACTTGATGCCTTACAGAAAATTAACAGCAACAAGTTTACTAGGAAACATCTACGTTTACAAAATTAGATCGCCATTTTATAAACTGGTCAAAAAGATAGTAAAAAGTAAAAGTTATTAGCAAATTAGAAATCTACCTTGTTAGACTTTAATATATCTATCAAGCCTCCAGTGAGCTTATCATCAATGATATTGCAGTAAGGAGAAGTCCTGGTGGCTTCATCTAAGTCAAAAGGATTGTCAATGCATGTAGCAGCTGTAAGAGGGGTCTTTTCCCCAGCTTCAGCAAGGTATTTTGTCAGCATATTCGCACCATAACCCAAGCCAACCCCTGTCAATGTAGACCTTGGTCGTGCCTTGGTGATGAACTGTATAGCCGAGCAAATGTCATCACTATCAGCAGCTGTAAATAACCTTGAAAATAAGCAGGTTATGCAATTCATTAATTCATCCTCTTTGTAATAACGGAAAAATAACAAGGAAAAATCCCATCATTCTAAACACAATAGCAGGTAAATATAATTCAAATAGAAAAAAAATTACATCAGAAATGATATTTACAAAGAAAGAAAGAATAAAAAAAGAAATTACAATTAAAAACACAAAGGTATCTCTAGAATCTAAATCCACAGACACTAGACAATGAAATTATTAGGGGAATTTGATCATGCACCTCTAAGCTACTCCTGCCGTCCCCAAATATAATCTCATTTCTCTTGGGCACAAAAAAGAGAGAAATTGTTTTGAGATGTGTTGATTAGAGGTGAATGAAAAAGAAGTTAGGTATGATTTAATGCATTGATCATATGGTGAGATGAAGTACCAGTTTGTTGATTAAAGATGAACATATATGTTATGGGAGATATTCAACCATAGATTGATGACAAGATACTGGCTTGCCATGCTACAACCCAAAATAACCACTACAGTTTTCGCAATTATAATTCCCATGTCAGGAAAGCATTGTAACATACTCCCTTCGTCCCAATTTAGTTTGCCCCTTTCTATTTTGGCAAAGACCCACTAATTTTTAAATACTTCTCTCTTCCCACTACCAACTGTTAAAGTCCACACACTCTCTCATTCAATTTCAAAAATACCCCACTATCTCCAATCAGTCCATCACATCTACCTTTTTCTTAAAATAACAATTGACAACCACACTCCAAACTTACACCTAAAATTATGTGCTTTGACAAGGATGCAAACTGAATTGGGGCGGAGGGAGCATACCGTTTTAAAGCTGCAAGATGTAAAGTAAAAGTTATCACTTTAGTTATGACTGGACCTTCCCAATTTCCCTACTTAAATTGAACTATAGCATATATGAGATCAAGAAAGTGCCCAAAACTCCAAATGAGTAACTAGTACATAAAAAAAGCTCTATAAGTAAAAACAAGTCAATTCCTCAATTAAGTGGGAGTTACATCAAGTCGTCAAGGTTCCATCCTACCGCGAATGCAGAGCTACATTCTGTATCAGAAAGATTTCTCCTTCCAGTTCTTTAATGATCAATTAGCAAAGTATACTCAAAATTATCATCATATATAAGCACAACTTAAAAGAAACAAAAACACATACTTCCAACATATCAAAAACACAAACCAAAATCAAAACAACAAATCGAAAACTCATCAACGACTCACCGAGCAGTGGTTAATGGAGAACCGGCACACCCCCGAGGGTTCATAACAACTGGAAACAACCCTCGCCGCAAGCATTCCCTCACAAACGACCTCACATTCTCATCCATACTACCATTCGCCGTCCCCGGGATCAATAAAACAGTAGTATCTAATCCACGCTCATCACTCAAATCCAAATTACAAGGCCAATCCAAAGAAATCACCCCGCCATCTTCAGTCCCAACACAAACCCTCTGATACTCCAATACCCCATTTTCTCTCTCCTCCTTCGCCTCGCCGCCGCCATTTTTACTCAATTGAATTCTCCCACTATCTAACCTAACAAAATGCTTCTCCTCCTTCACTAATCTCTCACTCACATCCTCCTCTTCGCCATTTTCGAACGAAATCGAAGGACACCGCAATAGAACAAACCGATTAAAGGGTGTTGGGCTAGTGAATAGAATCCATTCACCAACATCGGAAACCCTAGAATCCGAATTCGATTCTGATCCCGAATTCGAATTCGATTGAAGAAGATTATTGTTTCTGTACTTAGAGTAAGAAAGAGCAAAAGCAGAAGCAAACCCTAGAGCAGCAGGTGGAACCCAATTGAGAGGAAGAAGAGAGAGAAAATCAAGAGCACTTGAAGCGGAAGTAGAAGAAGGTTCAAGTGCGTTTCTAAGAAGCTTAGAATTCCGCTTCAATCGGCGTTTCTTCCATAACCGAAACTCCCGGTTTCGAAACGTTGAATGAAGAAGGTGAGAGGTTGAAGAAGGAGGGAAGAAGAAGGTGAAGCTGGAATTGGGGTTGACTTGAGCTGAAGTGAAAATCGCCATTGAAGAAGAGGAGAGAGAAAGTGATGATAAGGAAGAAGAAGAAAAGAGCGTTTTGGAGAAAAATGGCGGGTTTTTGGAGAATGAAGAAAGTGACGTGGAAAGTATGGGCGGTTTGGGATTTCAAAGAAGAAAGAGATGTGGAAGGAAATTAGCGGTTTAGAGTGGCGTTTTGGGTTCTGCCAAAGATTTGTAAATGGTCCATGTTTTTATGAGATTAATTGTAAAATTTTGTTGATTTCATTGGACGTAAAGTTGGACATCTGTCTATTGTTAATGTAGACGCCGACTTAATGGTTCGTAGATAGGAGCACAATGGTCATTGGATTGTGGGGGTGGATTTTAAAGGTGGATGAGAGGGGAAGTATGTCGACGATTTAGTACAGCTGTACAGTCGTACATAGTAGAACAATGACTAAAAAAGTTATGTTTTGATCACTTTATTTTTACTTGTATTAGGAAAAACAAGTTCAAACAAGATTAAATAGGTTCACATAGAATTCTTAATATCAATAAGTTTTGACCATCTTCGAATCCTCGTAATTTGTTGCATGTGACATATTGAAGTTGGTGTCAAGATTAGTAGTTTCTCCTTCTTTATAGATATGGTTTGCTAGTGAAAGGTATATTCCTCATTAGTCTTGGACCTCTAGGTTACAAATCGTAGTGTTTAATTTTTAATTTGACATTGTCAAGGCTTTATTTATAACCATACCAAGTTGATCAAGACATTTGGTTCACATATTAATTTTGACACTATTGAGGCTCTAATTATAACCAAACCAAGTTGAGACGTTTGCTTCACATATTAATTTTCTTTTAGTTTTTCATTGTTATAATAACAACATTTATATATGCTCTTCTTCCGATCATCTTATAATGTAGGGTGTTTTGTTATCAAAATGGCTAGCTATATTTGGGCCTAATGATACAATTGGGCTCTCAAGCCCAATAAGCCAAATACTAATATTTGGAGCCTTAAGTCAATGCAAGATCAACCCAAGGACAAAGGAAAGCCTCTTAACCAACCCATATGCGGATCGCTTACCGCGTGTCCTATGGATCCTGTTTAGAGTAAAATTACCCTATGCCATGTGGCTTAAAGGCATGCTGACACGTGTCAGCCTCAGAGAGGTCCAATGGGATCCAATCCTCTACTGACACGTGGCATCTTAACCCTAAAAGGGGAACTGATCCTCTTCCACTATAAATAGAGGAAAATCCTCATTTATTAGACATTCAAAAATACAAACACAAAAACTTAGCAACATTAATTGTAGAATTCTCTCTTAATCAAAGAGAAAAAACCATTACATTTCGCACTTTATTACATCCGGACACGTTCTAACTTGATCGTCGGAGGCGGAACTCCACCCAACCGGAGATTCCGTGGTTTTGCAGGTACAAACGGTCGACGCGCATTCTCGGTGTTGTAACTCTCCCGAGGGACTCCAAAAACCCCGAAACAGATCCCACATTATTATCTACCCATGGGTATAAATAGTATAATTTCCACCATTTTCACGTATCCATGACGACTAGCCTCAATCACTAAATATCTTGCATAGCATTTAATACTCTCTTTGTATGAAAAAGTACTAACTTAGGCATTGAAGGGGCATTTCTCGGCAAATCCCGATGCCGGTTAACGTGCTCTATTGTGCAGGGAATCCTAGGCACAGTGACTTTCTAACCGAGCTCGTCTTTAGACTACCTGATGACTAAGGACTTTCTTTAGTCCATGTTGTTTTTAACCAAAACATAGGGTAGGTATTCAACCTCTTTCGAATATGATGTTGCCAATCTTGAATATAAAATTTTGCTCTGTCACGCAACACAAACAAGTAGTTAGGGAGGGCCTATCGAACCAATTCAAAGCTAATAAGCTTTTATCCATACACTGAGTGAATTCGTATACCAAGTTTCCCTTATACTTTGACTTTGATCATGACAACAAAGTGTTGAGTACAATCCTTGTGTAGGTGCGTACTATTGTAACTACCAATCTCGTCAGCCATTCCATAAAGTTTTCTATACATATACTAACAAATACGAAAGACCACACAAGCATTAGGGCCAATAGCTTATCGGGTCAAGTTTGATTTAGGTTACTAGTTGATAATATCACAGCACGTACTCATTGATTGATTAGTTTGTCAATTTCAAGTTATTGCTAGTTAAATTATATGGTTCAGATCAGTTTTTAACCACGCTCTAGAGATGATAATGTAATGTCTGAGGAGGTCGATCGATCTCCTACGTACATATACTTGTATACTCATACTAAAATGCATCTAAACAAGATCGACTGATCACTGACAACTAAATTTTTAGATTTTATTATATGCTTGGTAATAAGACAAAGTTGATCTACTTATGGAAGCCAACTACCATAAACTACACCAAATTCTTATACAAAAACCTTAATTTACTTGGTTCTGTTTGTCAACTAATCATTCATTAATAAGCATCAAGCTGAATGATCTTGATATATTCGTAGATCTTTGGCTCTCCAATTATAAGCATGATTATTATTATGTCTCAATAGCAGACTCAAACTTGGACTACTTGGTTGGTCGATATTAATTGATGCATGAAACTAACTTTTATTGTCACAAATTTATTTGATATTTTGATGCATTATTTTTAAGTGTACACATTTTGTTACAGATTTCATAATTCAAATAATTGAATCAAAATAAATTTTATCAATAAGCTGATCAATACACTAAATTTTATGTACTATTATCTTGCTTACACAATATTCTTCTTCACAAGATTTACAATGATAATATATCATGTTCACTTTTGAGAAGATAGAAAGATAGGTAATAATTGAGATGATTGGCCTGTGACCTTCTAGTTACATTGGCTCGCTCATAATACCATATTAAAGGGTTAACGTAACTAAAAACTTAACTGATGGTTGAACCCCAAGATATATTTTATCACACTATTAATAATATAAATTAAATTATGGATATTATATTCGTGAATTTCCAATTACGAGCAACTTTCCAACCAAATATTGTAATTAAATATAGGATAAAAGCCATGAAGAAAAAATTCTAACATACGAAACAAATACATACACATTAAATTTAATTTCTATTAAAAAAAAAATGCATGCTCCTTAATTGTATAAATTTTTTAACTACTTATCTTCCCACCCCATACATAGAAATCTATACCCTTCTAAAAAGAGAATACATGGTTTGGGTGAAAAGGGTAGATGTACAGTAACATCTTTTGACTTTATACCTTTTGTGTCTTTTTATTTTTTTTGGGGGGGTTTGCTTTGTATGTGTCGAAGTAATTTTTTATTTTATTTTTTTATTTTTTTTGGAAACATGGAAGAATTCTCTTTAATTTGTAGTTAAGTATTACTTTCTCTTTTTCAAAAAAAAAAAAAAAAAAACATTACTTTCTCCATTCTTTTTTATTTAATATGTTTCATTTATTACATTTATTAATACATAAATTTAGTCATCTATATTTTATATTCCTAATAAGTAAAAATTGTAAAAAAAATATATGTGATTAAATTTATTGAGACGATTCAAACAAGATCTCACATAATTATATTTTTCGTTAAGTATAAAGTACATAATACTATGTATTATCAATGGTAAGTGCGTGAATAGTGCAAAAGTCAAAATAGGTAAAGTATGTAAAAAGAACGAAGGAAGTGTCTTTTTATAGATATATTATAGAATAGACTGGAAACTCAATGGCGTTGCCCTTTTTTTGTTTTTGATTGTATATATATATATATATCTTCCGTTCTTTTTTAATTACAACGTTTGAGAATATTTTTTTAAACAAACTTTTGAGATTTCATATTCCGTACTATGTACACACATTCCTTTGACTACTTTCTGTGTTTTATACATTACAAAAATAATACTCATTTGAGGCGTTGTTAGATTCATCTGGAATTCAACACTAAAGTACAAATAAAGAGAATCAATGATTTGGAATTAAATGGTATAATTACTTCCACATCCTTCCTTTTTGTTTTTAATCAGTTTGACTCTTTGTTACATTATTACTTAAAGTTGATTTCCATTAGCATATCCCAATCACTCTCAAAATTATAAGAAGTAGATTTGAAAAAAAGTACTCCCTCCATTTTATAATGATAAAATTTATAATGTGGGGATTAAAGGGAAAATGTTATATACTACAAAAGTACAAAGTACTATAAAGTATAGTTAGTAGAAATATATTTAATTGTTAGTAGGGGAAATAAATAATAAAAAAGTAGTGTAAGTGGGGGTTGGTTGGAGAGAGAATAATAAAATAGTATTGGTCCTTACCAAAAAAGGAAGTATTGCAATTATTATGAAATGAACGTAAAAGAAAGTGTTGCGATTAATACAAAATAAAAGGAGTATAAATTTAGACAAATGTAACAAAATCCCACATAACTATTTTTTTCTTTCCTTGTAAAGCACAATATATCGTCATAAGATCGAGAGAGCATGTATAATGTCAAAATCTTAATGTTGCAATGCAAGTAAAATAGAGTGGAGGCATAGGTCAGTATTACGGAGAAACTAAATATCTTTGTATTATATTTGGGGTTGATAGGAAATAGAAATAGTAAAATATTTGTGAAAGTGGGGTTAGTGGGAGAGAGAAATTATAAAATAATGTTGGGTCCTTTCCAAATATAAAACTGTTCCAATTAATATAAAATGGATGTAAAAAAAAAGTGTTGCGATTAATACGAAACGGATGGAGTATTAAAACAAATTAGAAGTTAGCGTTATACACGTTTTGTTATTTTTAAAATAATCGCTCTCTCTGTTTGTGTTTTTGTAAGTGTTACACTTTAATCGGTATACTTTTTGGCAATTTAATTAACTTAAATAAAATAAGAGGTAAGTGGGGTAGTTAAGGTATTAATAAACTGTAAAAGAAAGATAGTGAAGTTAATAATTTATTGTAAAGTACTCCATAATATAATTAATGTGAGAGGAAACAAATAATAATAATAATAATAATAATAAAAAAAGTAGTATTGTAAGGGTGGGGAGCATGAGAGGAGAGAGATACTGATTTAGTATACTAATTTAACTTTACACAAACATATATTATGGTTCATAATTTAACCACATGTATCATACGAATACGTAACCATTAATTAAAAGAATATTCGTAATAGCTGAAAAGCCACATCAAATCATAAACTGATAAATAAATAATAGTAATATTATACTACCATAAGATGATAATTGTAAGAATTACT